TCAAGACCGTGGTATGGATCACCCATTCACTAACCTAAGCTACAAGTGAGTGAGCTTTGGAGTTAGATACATTTTGGCCATGGGGACTGACCCCATCTCCATTTAAAAGCATAGGAGGTCACAGAATCATAGAGTTGGAAGGGGCCATAACAGTCCATCTAGTCCAAGCCCCTGCCCGATGCAGGACCAGCCTAAAGCATCCCTGACAAATATTCATCCAGCCTCTTCTTGAAAGCTGTCAGTGAAGGGGAGCTCACCACCTCCCCAGGCAGCTGATTCCACCTTTGAACCACTCTGAAGTCTATTCGACGCCTGCAAGATCAGCTCACGCACAAAAGAGCACGGAGGGAATTCGGAATGCTTCGGAGGGCAGCCGTGTGGGTCTGCCGCAGAACAGCGAGATATGAGTCCAGGGGCACCTTAGAGACGTGCCAGATTTTCGGGGTACGAGCTTTCGGGAGTCAAGGCTCCCTTCGTCAGGGAGCCAGAACGGCTGGCTGTTTCGTGGCGGCGGATAAGGATCAGTTCACAGAAACCTGTGCACCAGGCTCTACACATACAGTAGCTTGTATCTACATGTAGTTGCTCAGTTTGGACAGCTGCGACGGGGTTCGACACAGCCTCAGCTTTCTGGGCAGCCTGTGCTGCCACCACCTGCTAATGCCTTCCTCAGTGATACTTCGTCACGCAGAAGGGAGAAAAGCCAGTGAACGGACGATGGTGATGCCCGTGAGGGCTCATGCTCAGCAGGGGCTCCGCCAACTGCATCAGCTACCGGTCGAATTCCGGATTCGCTTCAAGGTGTTGGTAATAACCTTTAAAGCCTTATATGGCCCGGAACCAACATATCTGAGGGACCACCTCTTCCCGTATGTGCCTGGAAGGGCTTTATGCTCTATGGATCAACATCTCCTGGTGGTCCCTGGCCAGAAAGACATCCCCCTTGTCTCGCCCAGGGCTTTTTCTGCCCCGGACCCTGCCTGGCGGAAAACGCTCCCCATTGAGATCAGGGCCCTGCGGGATCTTCTTCAATCCTCCAGTGCCTGCAAGATGGAGCTGTTCCGCCAGGCCTTTGGTTGAGGCAGCGGGCGTCCATGTACGGCCTCCCTGAGGTTGCTGTCACCCATTGATTTACAGCTGGCTACAACTCATTTGTTGTCGAAGGGCCAAGGAATCCCTCACGACCAGCCAATTCTATTCCTGGGCCGTGACCGCCATTTTAATGTATATTACCGGGTTTTAGATTTTTAGCGCTATTTATTGTATTGTTAAAACGTTGTTACCCGCCCTGAGCCCGCTTGCGGGAAGGGCGGGCTATAAATACGAAAAATAAAAATAAGAAATAAACAAACAGTGACTTCCTCGTTCCCACTGCCCCAAAAGCTAGGTGCTTGGGCAGGCAACTGGAAACTGTGGCACTGACTCCTGGAATGGCTCTCCCAGTAGGGGGCTACAGTACACAGAATGGGCACCACCCCAGATGAAGAGAAGAGAGAAGAGGAGACTGGATTTATACCCTGCCCTTCACTACCCAAAGGAGTCTTGGAGCGGCTTACAATCTCCTTTCCTTTCCCCTCCCCACAACAGACACCCTGTGAGGCAGGTGGGGCTCAGAGAGCTCTTTCGATAACTGCTCTTGAGAGAACAGCTCGGAGAGAACTTGTGACTGACCCAGGGTCACACCAGCAGCTGCATGTGGAGGAGTGGGGAATCAAACCCGGTTCTCCTAGATTAGAGTCTGCGTTCCTAATACCAAACTGGCTCTCAGATGCCTGTAGAGGCTATCAGAACTAACAGCTACTACAAGCAGTTTAAAACTCACGCCTCGGGTGGTACACAGGCTCCTGTCTGAACAGCCCATGTGAGGCTTGCTTTTTCTTGTTTGTTGGAAGTAAAATGACTGGATGTTTAGAAACGCTACCTAATAGCTGAAGGCAGCTCATGCATTACCACATTAGCCAGCCGTATTTGCCACACTCCGGAGGCTTCAGGTACTGGTGGTTTCTCAGATATGAATGTTGGACCTGCCACTGAAGCCCACAACCAATTAGACTGACCATAAATAAAGCAGAGGTCTAAGCGCTTAAGTACCGCTAAGTGTGTGGTCAGGGAACTGGCGATGGGATAATGGTGCCGGAAGGCAGGAACTGAAGTACCAACAGGCTGTGCCGGAAGCAATGCAAGGCAGGGCTTCATGGCTAGGACGTGCACATGTTTACAGGACCTGACCCAAAGCACAAAAAAGTTGCTGGAACGATCTTACAACGGGAGGCAGCCGTTCAGAAGGGGACCTGGCCTTACGGCGAAGGAGGAATCAAGAGGCCGGAACAAACGCAGCAGAAAAATCTGGACAGCAAGCTGAGAACGTGCTAAAGACACTCCTTATGGTACCAGTCATGTTTGTTTGGCATCAGTAATTGTTGGGTATTACAAGTTGAAAACACTCAGTATATCTGGGGTTAAATGTTTGTTTCTTTTAGTCACAGGAAGTCACATGTTTCTCATGTAACCAATGTTCTTTAGATGTAAGAAGTCCGGGAAATTTCTCCCTGATCTAGGAGTTTGATTGAAACGGGAGTGTCAAAGTGTTTTAGCATTTTATGGCTCCTCTTCCCGTCTTTGTTTGCTGTTCTGAAGAAGAGCAGCCATAATCTCTCTCTTCTAGTTTTGTCTTTGTAGAGTAAGGATGTAGCCGTTTAGCTCTGTTGTTATTTTCATCCTAGTTACCCTTCCCCATGCTAGAATGTATTAAAACTTTATATTTTAATCACACATGGACTCTCAGTCTGAATTATTTTACTCTGGCTCTGCTGGACTATCTTATCTCTGCTAAATACCATTTTTCAATATCTCACTATCAAACCCAACAGTAATCCTTCACTTGCTCATGCACAAATCTGCAGTGACAGGTGATGGTTCGTAGCTCCAGCGCCTTCCTTGTCCCAGCCCTCATGTTCCACAGCAGTGTGATAGGACTAGGGCCTTCCTGCGCCCCCTCTGCCCCAACAGCAGCTTCGCACGGGGGTCCCCAACCTTTCGGAGCCTACGGGCACCTTTGGAATTCTGACAGAGGGCCGTGGGCACAAATGCAAAATGGATGCCATGGGAGGTGGACGCCAATCGCAAAAGGTCAGGGAGCGAGGTTATCGTTACCTCTAAGAGTACCTCTTCAACATTTCAGGCACAAGCTCTGTTTAACACGGTGCCTTTTAATCTGCACGGCCAATTACAGAAGCCCCGCTGGGCAAAAGCCCCAACTAGCCTTGCCCACTTTCTAAGAGCACCCGGCGGGTATTGGGAGAGGTGCTGGCGAGTGCCACGGTGGCCACCGGCACCACACTGGGACCTTTGCAAGTCAATTCCTTTGTTTTAGAATGGATCCAGCAGTGCGGTTCCCATGCTGTGAGCCGTCTGATATAACTGGGAAGACGACACGGTCATTTCCCAGGCTGGCACTGCACTTCTCCTGGGGGTGGGGCAGTACACTGGTGTGAGAAATCACCACCAACCCAACCTTCCTGTGACTTGATCAAGGAGGCTCCTGCTACAGCATGAGGACGTGTGGGACCTGAAGCCACACCACAGCGGTTCGCACTTGCCGGTCCCTACAGCTATTAGAAGGCTGGTATGGAAAAGTATGGAAGACCCACACAAGCTAACTGAACCAGAGGTTCTGTGGACTCCGCATCGAAAGATGAACAGTGGTGAGCATCAATGCTCCCTCTAAGCTGTGGGCAAAAATTCTACTCTGCGAGCTCCTGGCATTAAAGTTGTGAGCCAGCGATTTGGCTGCTGCATAAATTCGTTTGCTTTGGAGCCATCCCTTCCTGAGCAAAGACAAAAATCTGTGAGGTGGAGGCTAAAAAACTGTGAGCTAGCTCACACTAACTCAGCTTAGAGGGAACACTGGTTTTTTGTAGAAAAAGCTCAGCAGCAAGGGTCGTTTCGTAGAAAAAGAGCTAGGGGAACTCATTAGCATAACTCATTAGCATATACCACACCCCCTGCCATCACCGGAAGTGTGTCATAAGGCCACACACTCCTGCCATCACCGGAAGTGTGTCATAAGGCCACACCCACCACTCAATTAGTCTTAGTCTTCAAGGTTAGTCTTAAAGGTGCTATTTGTTAGTCTTAAAGGTGCTATTTGAACTCTTGGACCATTTTGCAGCAACAGACTAATTCCTCTGAATCTAAACCCACCACTCAGGCTCCACCCCCAAAATGTCCAAGGTTTTGCAAGGCCGGTGGGAGTGCGAGTGCAAGGAAGCCCCGCGAAGGCCCTCCCTGGCCCCAGGCAGGCAGGGGTGGGGAGAGGCGGGGAGGAAGCAACTTACCCTCCCTCTTCTCCTGCCTCCTCCTGGCTGAATGAGGGCCGGGAGCGGGAAGCAGGGGGCGGGGCTTCGTCATGTGCCCCGCCCCCCATACCTCACCCGGGGGAACTGCGATCCCCCACGATCCCCCCGAAATGACCTCTGGGAAGCTCTCCCACACACTTCCTGTCTTTTTAGCATAATAGGCCACACCCAACAGCACAAACTCATTAGCATATTAGGCCACACCCATGAAAACACAGCTAATTAGCACGTTAGGCCACACCCCCATGCCTTCCCTTGGCTTTCCTGGGCGCCCCGCGGCTGCAGGGAGTCTGGGCAAGACGGCCCTTTGAGGGAGGGAGTTTAAACTGCCTTCCCTTGGCTTGCCTGGGCACCCCGCAGCTGCAGGGAGCCCCAGGCAAGCCGGGGGGGGCAGTTTAATGGCTCGCCAGGGAAGGCATGGGGAGGCAGGGTCCCCCTTGGCCCACCCGTCTTGGAGTTGCTGGGGGGGGTCACTCCCCAGGCCTTCCCTCTGTAGCCAGGCAGGCAGAGGTTTTGGCTGTAGTGGGCGTGGCCAACTCTGAAGCCGGCCGGAACTCCGTTCCTGTGTGTTCCAGCCCCAAATAGCCCTGTGAGCATCGATCGTAGCATTGGATAATAGATATATTTTTAAAAAGAACTTACCAATTTGTAACAATACTGGAGTCACCAAAGCTGTCTCCATGGCGTAACAAAATTCCCTGCCAAACATTACGGCACCGTGCATCACCCAGAGGCGTACGGGTATCCGGTCTATGGATCCTTCGCTGATGGTCTCTTCTTTACTCTCGATCTCATTTTCCGGCTTCTGGAGCTGTACCACAGGTAGCTCTTGAACTTGCATAGATTCTGAGTCAGCATTCTGCGGAGCCATTTTCATTACCACAAAAAATATATATCTATATATATATTTATATATTCATTTATTATACCTATATAAATAACGCTATCATCTCTAACGATAAGTTACGGTGTCTTCTCTTCCCAACAGCGTCGCGTTCCTCGTGCAAGCGATATTTGTAATTCCCTCCCTTGTGGCGAACAGGTTGCGTCATCAATTCGTCGCGTAGACGTTGAAACATTCAGAGAGGAGCAAAAGAAAAAATGCTATTTGGTAGGAAATTCGACATATGGCTTGCTGGCTTGGGTTTTTTCCACTTACTGTGAACTAGAGTTAAAAATCCATAATTGCCACTCAGTTAATACCAGTTTCATAATTATTAATGAAGAGTTGCTGAAGTTGTTTCGCTTGCTACACAGTGGTGGGAAGGTGACACAAACAGCTGCTCCACTGGTAATCCCCATCGAGTGGCTGATTAATCTGCAAATAAAAGCAAAGAGTAACTCATGTGAACATATGAAGTGACCTTCTACCGAATCAGAACCACTAGTTCATCTAAGTCTACTCAGACTGGCAGTGGCTCTCCAGGGTCTCAGGAAGAGGTCTTTCATCTCACCTACTGCCTAGTCCTTTTAACTGGAGATACCGGGGATTGAACCGGGGACCTTCTGCATGCCAAGCAGAGGCTCTTGCACTGAGCCACAGCTCTTCCTTTGAGCAGAACCATTCGTCCATCTAGGTCACTACTGTCTAGTCAGACTGGAAGCAGCTCTCCAGGGTCTCAGGCTAGACTTCCTTCACATCACTTACTGCCTGGTCCTTTCACGTATGGACAGCGGGGATTGAATTAATGCGGGACCTTTTCCATGCCAAGAAGATGCTCTGTCGCTGAACTCATGCACTGGCATCACTCTCCCAATGGCCTGACACCCTCAGCCTCTTTGCATTGTTTAAAACAAAGCCCCTTGTGCACTTCATTTGTTCATCTGGGGGGGTCATCTTTCTGCTCAAAGAAGTGGTTCTTGAATCTTTAATGATCCACGCCTACATTTACAGTAGCTTCTGCGATCTCTTCGCAAGTAACTCCGTGTTATTTCCCTCCCCTCCCTCCCAATCGAAAATCACAGTAATCTTATATCACAGAATCATAGAGTTGGAAGGGACCTCCAGGGTCATCTAGTCCAACCCCCTGCACAATGCAGGAAATCCACAAATACCTGCCCTCACCCCCGGAAGGGGGAAACCCACCCCCCCTTTCCAGGATCCCCGGTCAAACTGGCCTGGAGAATAATTCCTTCCAGACCCCAAAGTAGCGATCGGCATTTCCCTGGGCGTGTAAGAAAGGTCCACGAGAACCAGGCACTGAGGCAACCCTTCCTGCCCTCCCTTCTCGTGATCTGCCTAAGTTCACAGAGTCAGCATTGCTGTCAGAGGGCCATCGAGCCTCCGTATCGTTTGCCACTGGAAAAGTTTACGCTCTATTTTTCATACTTAGCATCAGGGGTCGTTTCGTAGAAAAAGAGCTAGGGGAACTCATTAGTGTAACTCATTAGCATATGCCACACCCCCTGACATCACCAGAAGTGTGTCATAAGGCCACACCCACCACTCAGTTAGTCTTAGTCTTAAAGGTGCTATTTGAACTCTTGGACTATTTTGCAGCAACAGACTAACACAGCTACCTTGGGGAAGCTCCTGGATGGGGCTGGGAGTCCTTGCGGAGGCCACGTGGAGTGGCCTCAGCCAGGCAGAGGGGGAGGACGCCAACTTACCCTCCTGCTTCTTCCTCCTTCTGCAACAGAATGAGGCTGGAAGAAGGGGGCGGCCGGAAGAAGGGGTGGGGCTTCGTCATGTGCCCCGCCCCCTGCACCTCACCCGGGGGAACTGCGATCCCCCCCGAATCGACCTCTGCTTAGCATACTGAGCAGGAGGCTGTTATCTCGTACACTAGGCCAGGAGTTCCCAAACCTTTTGAGCCTGTGGGCACCTTGGGCATTCTGACACACAGGGTGGTGGGGCGCAACCATCAAATGGCCACTGCAGGGGGCGGGGCCGCCCACAGAAAGGCTGCCACAACCTACCTTCAGTCGCACATTGAAGATCCTTGTGCTGCGGTGGCCTCTGCTGCCAAAGCAACATTTTAAAAAACGTGTTCCACAAACCAAATCCCCAGGGGCCAGTCAGAAGCCTTGCTGGGCAAAAGTCCCACTTGGCCCCGCCTACTCCCTAAAAAGGGCTGCAGTGGCTCAGAGGTTAAGACGGTGAGCTGCAGACCGGAAGGTCTGTAGTTCGGCAGTTCGAGACCGGAGTGACAGGGTTAGCTCCCGTCTCTGGCCCCAGCTCCTGACAACCTAGCAGTTTGAAAGCAAGAAATCGCAAGTAGATAAATAGGTACCGCTTCAGTGGGAATGAAACAGCGTTCTGTGCACCTTGGCGTTTAGTCGTGCTGGCCACACGACCATGGAAATGTCTTCGGACAGCGCTGGCTCTCCGGGCTCAGCTGGCTCTCAGCCCCATAAACCCTCTAGCAAAGAGAGCCAACACCCACTTGTGGGCTCTCGCCCACACACTGGGGATTATTGTGTTAAAAACCATCCCGGGCGAAGTAGTCAATGGGGAAAGAGCATTGCGGGAAGCCAAGTAAGGGGGTGGAGAGGGGGGTATTCTAAAACTGGGATATGTTAAGAATGTGATTATTGAATGTTATAAGAAAATGATGAAAATGTAATCATATCCTGTTAATAAAATGTTATAATAAAAAAAACCAACCCATCCCGGGAGGCTTTGCAGAACAAACAAGACGCAGCAAATAAAAGCACAAGAAATAGCTTGCTAAGCAGCAGCGGCTTTTACCAGCTGTTATTAACAACATGGGCAAACAGAAAGGACTTTTATCAAAAAAAAGAAGACAAGCAGGGGCCGGGCTAAACACTGACTTGAGAAGGGCATTCCGTAACCAGTTAAGTGGCCACAGGAAAGGCCCTTCCCATGTAACCTCCCACTTGAACCTGGAACGTGGGGATACCAGGAAAAGGGCGCCGGAAATTGAACTTAATTCTCAGGAGCAAAGTGGGCCTTGAGACAGGACGGGACAGTCCAGGGCCAGCTGTGGTAGTGGGAAGTGTTGTCAAGTCACGGCCGACTTGTGGCCATCCCAGTAGGGTTTTCAAGAGGAAGGAGGAGGAGGAGAAGAAGAAGAAGAGTATCCCACCCTTCACTCAGAGTGGCTTACAAATTCCTTCCCCTTCCCCTCCCCTCAACAGACACCCTGTGAGGTAGGTGGGGCTGAGAGAGCTCTTTTGAGAACTGCCCTTGAGAGAACAGCTCTGAGAGAACCGTGGCTTGCCCAAGGTCATCCAGCAGGTCCAAGTGGAGGAGTGGGGAATCAAACCCGGTTCTCCCCAATTAGAGTCCGCTCACTTAACCGCTACACCCAACTGGCTCCCCAGAGATGGTTTGCCGTTGCCTACCCCTGAGTAGCAAGCCCGGACTTCCTCGGTGGTCTCTCATCCAAGCACTAACTGAGGGAAGCCCTGCTTAGCTTCCGAGACCTGATGAGATCGGGCTAGTCCGGGCCACCCAGGCTAGGGAAGAGACTAGCCAGGGATTTATAAACACACAACTGCAACTCTGAGTTATTCTTGGAAACAAAGTGAAAGCCCATGAAGCTTTCAGATATTGGGGGAATGCATTCCTGGCCACACAGACGCCAAGGCGGGCACCACAGTGAACTTGCGGATCCACTGCAGCTGCTCACCACATGACCAGAGTTAAGTTGCCTCTGCGTGCTTTTTGCTAGCCGAGGCCAATGCCGATGTATCCAATAGAATGGCTTTATTTGCCTTGGCTGCAAGGAAAATACGGGCCAATGCTGTTTCTAGGGGAACTAGCTAATACTGATTTTAGTGGGTATGCTGTGAATTAATTAACTGTTTATAACCTCGGTTTTATGGATTTACAATGTTCTAGACTGTATTTTATTTTGTACAATTTTCTATGTTTTATTGTATTCTTTTCTGTTTGTGGTTTGTAATGGCCTATGGCTAAATACAATAAAAACCTTCTCTCTCTCTGCGTGCTCTGCACACGTTCACCGGTGTGGACCGAATCCATGAAGCTGCCTTATACTGAATCAGACCGCTTGGTCCATCAAACTGTAGCTTACTCCAGGAGTCCCAACCACCACAGGCGTCATGGAGCCTGCCGAGAGCATTCCTGGCACCTTTAAATGTGTTTCAGAAAGTGGGTGGGGCTCTTGCCCAGGAAGGCTTCTGACTGGCCATTTGGAGATTTGATTGGCTGTGCAGATCTTTTAACATGTTGCTTCGGCAACAGCTACCACCACAGCACAAGACTGTGTGACTGAAGGGAAGCCGTGGCAGACATTTTGTGGCTGACTCCGCCTCCTGGGGCAGCCATTTTGTGGTTGAGTCCACCACACTGTGTCAGAATTCCAAAGGCGCCCACGGGCTCAAAAAGGTTGGGGACTCCTGGTCTACTCAGACAGCAGTGGCTCCCCAGGGTCTTAGGTGGAGGTCTTTTGCATCATCTCTGACTTGATCCTTTTAACTGGAGATGCCTGGGGATTGAACCTGCGCCCTTCTGCCCCTCCCAAAGTCCTCATCATTTCCACAGTTCCACACGGTGAGGCCCTGAGTTTGTGACTGATGAGCTGATACTCCCACTGTTGCTTTGTTCTCGCGAACAAAGCTGAAAACACGGCCTTCCGAAAATTCAGAGTCAAGAGCTGAATATTTCCTTCGCAACATTAGTGCTGCTGAACTGGCTTCCAGGAGCCGCCGATGCAGCTGGTCTTCGAAGTTCCAGCAAGTATATTTTCAGGAACTCAAAACCACCTGTTCAGTTAATTACACGCATTAAAAAAAACAATCTAATCACATCTTTAACTGATTAAAGTTTCGCTACCCTAATTTTAGGGTGTGCCGACAGTGTTTACAGCAATCCGGTGCCAATTTCAGGCATCTGATTCTTTTCTGTTGCAGCGGATCTGCCCCCACTGCTCCAATTAAAACGCATTAATATATATGGTTATGTAGAAACCAGGAAATGAAGCAAGCTACAGTGGAAAATTTCCATGCTTCACTTTATTGTACTAAAGGTTTCCGAAAGTACATCTTTTAAAAAATCCAGTATTTTGACAGCTTAATCCTGTGCTCCTGACTTCAAGAGGAGGCCTGCAGGTTGCACAAATGCACGATCGATTTGTTATTCTGACGAAATGCTAAGGCGGGGATCCACAACCGTTCAGAGCCTGTGTGGGCACCTTTGGAATTCTGACACAGGACTGTGGGTACGACTGCAAAATGGCTGCCACGGGAGGCGGGGCCAATCAGAAAATATCAGGGAGCAGGGTTATATAAAACTCTAATAGGACCTCTTCAACATTTCAGGCAGAAGCTCTGTTTGACAGGGCGCCTTTTAATTGGCACAGCCAATCGGAAGTCCTGCTTGGCGAAAGC